TTTTTTTTTTTCTGGATGTTGAACGTTGGAGGACTGTGGCGAAAATCCGCGACATTTTTAGCGCACCGCGCGTTTAACAACACCCCTTCCTCGGGTATCGTCGCTTTTAATCTTCGATCGCTGACTAATGACCAACGATTCAGAGCGTGTGGATGAGCTCTGTTTTCTTTTTTTTCTTTTTTTTTTTTTTTTTTCGAAATTGTCGATAGTCTGTTCAGCAAAGTTTCGCGAATCTAGTGTTTTCTATCCTTATCGGACGCTGAATATTTATTCTACCGTGTCAATCCGAATAGGCGTCCCTGATCAAAAAAAGCTGTTTTGACGAACGATTTTTAGAAAAACGAGTTTCAGTGTTCAACGATCGGACATCGATTACGTGTACATGTACATTCGTACAGGAATCGAAAATGTTAAGGAACTTTTAAATAGGTTCTATTTGGAACATCGAATCGTAGAATCCTTTCGACAAATGTTCTCTTAAAAATAAAATTCCAAAATTACATCTTAAAAGTGAAATTCTGTCGTTTCAGACGGAATGGAACTTATAAAGCATGAAGATGAAAATTCTTCTGTCAGAGGAACAGATGAATTTGTTCATCAATATTAAAAAAAGCGATCAATATTTGTGGCAAATACTGACATTGAATACCATTCAATGATTACTTAGATATGGAAATGAATTTTCAATTAAATGTTCCAAAGTAACTTGCTTCGACGAAACTTTTATTTTACAGACTTTAAAATGTCTGTTCCGTGAGAACACTGTTCAAAAGTGTGAAATGCTTTTTTATAAAACTTTCACAAAAACAAATATTCTTTTGTCTGAAATATATAAGTTCGGAAAGAATTTTTTTAACTTTTTAGAAACCTGATTGTATCTTCAGTTTATTTTTTACAATACATATATATATTATTTTTGTGCTAGTTGAGCTTAATGATTCGATTTAAACGAAAATTTCAGATTTAACACGACAGCATTGTAAATATAATTAGACTGATTTGAAGATACAAATAATGAAGAGAATCGATATGTCTTATGAATAAGTCAGATATATTTGAAATTTGTGTTTGTTGCGTTTAATAATAAGAGACGCGAATTTCTAAATTAATATTTAAAAAGGAAGAGAATGAAGGAAAGAATGGAAAGAATATTTATTGTAGACGTAATTAACAGAGAATGAACAAAGTTAGTGTGTCTTATGTGAGGAATTTATAAATTCCACGAATTTCTAAATCAATATTTCGGTGCAGACGTTTAAGAAAGAAATGAAAAGAAGAATAAAAAGATAGAATTCGTATAGAAGATTTGCTGTGAAATTAAATTAAATTTGAAGACACAGACGTGAGAAGAGAGAATGTGTCGAACGTGCAAATGAGAAATTTGTACTTCAAATTTGTTGTACTCGGTAAAGAAAAACACGAATGTCTAAATTTACATTTTAATTTGATTTTCCATTTCTAGAGGTTTCTCTAGGTTTTCCATTTCTAGAAAATTAGCGTGGTCAAGTTAATTTTAGATCGATTAACTTTGTATGTACCAATCACCTCGTGTGTATGTATCAAGCTTCTCGATCCGACATCGTTCAATTTCGAATAACCTAACCTCAAATAGATACCCAACGGGGAATAAATAAGCGTATATTTAAAGCCCGCTTTAACTACGAGCACTGGAAATAGTCGGAGAGAAATAATAACCAGGATTGACAAATACAGCGACTGTTGCTCCTCCAACGAAAAAAGCAAGAGACGATCGAACGATTTTTCGCCGGTACTTCTCGATCGAAATTGAGAATCCTCTCGATCCAAGAAATGTTTCGCGGAATTATTAATTTTCCAACGGAGAGGGCAGCAGCGGAAGAAAAAAAGAAAAAAAAAAAATGAACGATCACAGTTTCCACGTTTTTCCACGAGCGTGTACAAATGTTTTCGGCATAATTCGACGGCGAGGTAAATGTAACTGTTATCGCGACCAAGTCAATACCGATTTCGGACAAAACACAGGTGGAGGATACCGGCTGCCTATATAAATGTGGCGGCACGTACGAAACATCATGTGGGAAGAGCGAACGCGGGACGCACGAGGTACGGAGGAAGCGATTTATTAAATACTGTACCAGTGAGCATTGTTATGACACGATTGTGCAAATATTATTTTACATATACGGCGATCAACGTTGCCCGCGGAACCGCTGCTCGCTGCTGCGCGTCTATGTACCTTTCTCCTTTCGCCTGGCTGGCAGCAAAATTTTTATTGGACCAACTTCAAGCTGCATACCTTCGCGATGGCACCGGTCGAAAGCAACGAAAAAAGAAATAAAAGATGGGAAATGAGCGAATATTTAGCATTCTCCGATCGAAAATTGTAGAGGTTTCGCACACTCGATGAAAGATTGTCTGCACTTTAGCTGTTATAAAAAATGGTAAATTTTCCAGTTTGTTAACCTTATTTTAAACTGCTTTGATCTGTTCTTCGTATTGTCATATCTTCGATAAAAAAAAAAAATTGTCTAACACGTAGAAATTGAAACTTTGAGAAATCACGAACGCGAATCAATTCGCTGTTCGATGAAACTTCGCGGGTCCCGACATACAGCGTCGTCTATACTCCCTCCATATTTTCACTAACTCGAGCATTTTCTAATTTTGTAAGGATTTGGAAGATACAAATGAAAGAAAGTAGATAGTTCAATAAAATTTACATTAAAGAAAACACAATCCGCGAAATCCTTAGAAGGAATAAGTTACCTGCAGACTATAAATGACTATAAAAGACGAAAGTCAATTGGATTCTACGCGAGCTATCGGACGAGCTGCAGTGCTTTTTGAAAATAAACGTCGAATTGACAATACAAGCGTATAATTGGACATATCAATGTTTTACATGACAATTCACAAAAACTCACCGATGAACTGTCCCTCGGACTGTCCGTGGAAGTTCTCTTGCCCGTCTAGTAACGACGATGACAAGGACGACGGGGGTGTCGAGGGCAGTGGAGTCCACTGCTAGTGAACCCACGAGGGAGGTGCAGCAGGAGTCGCCGCGTTGGTGCTCACGTAAACTCCTGCTGGCGCGTTACCAGCCGTCGTGCCGACCACGTTGTTCTGAGACACGGCGCCATTTTGGCCAACGTTGCTGTCGCTCACTTGGATCGCTGCCGTTCCCATCACACCTTGCTGAAAGTTGAAGTCCAACGTCCCGTCCATCGACAGTTCGTGCTTGATCACCTGAAACGCCGAAGCAGATCAGTGCTTCCTCACTGCCGTTTTTCTATCACTCGGATTCGTGTTCAATTGCTGCTGTTCGTACAATGGCGAGTGTAACACTGCGTTTAAAACCGAACGAATGGGTCTCGGTCAAATTTGTATATCTGTTTGGTATGTAACTATGATCATCGTGCAGTTGTTTTTATAATCGAGAGTTTATACACATTCGGATGCTCGACGAAGGAAATATTGAATTTCGAGAAAGTTTTGGGGCCATTCATTCGCTTTGTCTACAAGCAACTTAAAGTAAATTAACAGTTTAATTCTTTGTATCTGTGGTACTTGATATTTTATATTTTTTCGTCATTTATGA